CCCCAAAACCCCAAAACCCCAAAACCCCAAAACCCCAAAACCCCAAAACTCTTTAAAATATTGATAATTTGATAATATAAAATGGAAAAAGAACGGGAGCACGCAGAGGATGAGATGGTGTATGCCAACCTCATAACACCATCTTCGTACACATTTGAGGAACTACCTCAGTCAGAGTTTTATCATTTCTTACTCAAGTGTACTGAGGGGTTGTTTAAAGGGAAGTTTTTTTACATAAATACCTCGTCAGAGGGAGAAATCATTGGAGGTGGTGACTATAACAGTCTGACCTTACATATCGAGAAAGCTAATCTAGCTGACATACATTGCTCTATAAAGTTTACAAGTGAATATAAGTATATCCTGAATGACCTAGATTCTCCTGATGGCACCTGGGTCAAACTGTTCGATTTGAATTTATCTGAAGAAAGCAGAGAAAGAGTTTATAGGGTTAGTGATTATGAGTTCATCTTTTTGAATAATACAAGCAGGTAAGAATTAAGGTTTGAAGGTGGAGAAGGTGAAGGGGGATGAGGAATTTGAAAAGAACTCGAGATTCTGTGCAAAATATGTGGAAATAGGCTCTGAGAAGGGTTCTAGAAGTTTAATTGGGATTTTAAGTTTTATTGACTGATTGGTGTCTTATACACCGCCAATTATTTTTGAATATATTAAAGAATTGTATTGATCTTACAGCTTAATAATTAAGCCAAAAACAAAAAGCAGGAAATTTTCTTTATTTCCATGAAAAACATATTTTCTTCACCATTAGCTTCTACTAAATTATAAAAATAAGCTAATAATCCTTCTTTCAAACTAAAGTACATACTTAATCACTAAAATTTAGCTCTGGAGATTTCTCACATGAAGAGTCAAGATCGAGTAAGAGCTCTAAAGCATCTGATTCTTACAAACCTCTAAAGATGGTAATCAGAAAAAGAGGGGACAAGTCCAGTCAGCAAGTTGTAGAGCTAGATAAATAAGACAGCACATACCAAATATGGTAATTGACCTTGTTCAACCCATAGTATTCGGATCATCATCTAAAGCTGATTTCCAATTGGAGGGGAAATAAGATTGCCAAATACCATTTTGAAATTCGTTGCACCAATGATGGATACCTGCTAAGAAGCCTGAATCACAACCTTAGTGAAAGCTACGGGGTTTATAAGAAGTTATTCAAAGATGAAAACCATATTATTCGCCCAGGCCATGGCATCAGGATTGGAGACCTCGAGTTCCATGTAGAAAGGTTTAACACAGGAATCGCCAGAGATAAAGGAGGAAGGCCATACCTTGAAGACTGTTACGCCTGTATTCATGATTTATACATCAACGATGACTTTTGTGCTACTTATTATGCAATATTTGACGGGCACGGTGGAGAGGAATGTGCAGAATTTCTACGGGATAACTACCATTACTATCTCAGAAAAGCATTGCTAACAGAAATAGAGAACAACACATATGACAATGTTAGCGAAACTGTAAAGCAGAGTTTCATCGAATCTTGTGCCGTTACCGATCAAAAATTTAAGGACACCTTTAAAGAGAGAGCAAATAAATGCGGAGCCACAGCTGTGATCGTCTTAATAATTGCTGACAGGATTTTTTGAGCCAACATCGGAGATGCCAGAGCCATTCTAAGCAGAGAGGGTAAGGCAATCAATCTTTCTAAAGATCATAAAGTGACCAGAGACGATGAACAACAGAGAATTAAATAACGATGGAGGATATATAGTGCTTGGACGAGTTCTGGGAAGGCTAGCAATCACAAGAGCCTTCGGCGACTTTGAATGCAAGAACATAGAAATTCAGAACAAAGAGACTGGGGAAACAGAAATTAAAAGCTTTGTTCTATCAGAACCTGAGATTAGTGAAATTCAGATCGATTCAAGAGACGACGAATTTATCCTCCTTGCTTCCGACGGTCTATTTGATAGATACTCCAGTCAAGAAGTTGTTGACACAGTCAACACAAAGATGTCAAAATATCAATCGTATGAAAAGAATCCTCAAAAGGTAGTCCTAGAGTTGATGAGTGAGACTCTAGGAAAAGGAATAGGGTCAGACAATGTTACAATTCTCCTTGCCTCTATTAATGTCTAATTATTGATAATCATTTACTTTTTATTTCTATATTATTTTCTTTAGGAGGGGTTTTGGGGTTTTGGGGTTTTGGGGTTTTGGGG